GTATTAAGATTATTTCTGTTGTTTGAGAGCCACTTGCTGACCTTTATCTTTCAAAAGGAATTTAAGACCTTCCTGCTTGGGCCATTTTGAGAACTAGTACCCTAGGTAAAATTACTAATCAAATTCAATTTAATATTTGTTACACCTCTACACTAGGAATTCTTTAGGTCTGGATATCTTTTACATGTATTTTCAGTGTGCCAACCAGGAAATGTGCTTGTTATACTTGTTGTCAGCACATCCTTTTGTATCACTTGCTGACCTTGGGAAATGCCTACCACTTTTTCTGTTTTTCATTGTCTTTTAATTTTTTCTTTAAAAATTTTTTTTTTTGTAAATACCGCTATCACTTCTTCATTTGTCCCCTTTTCCAATCACCCTTTTTTATATAGCAGCTAATGAAGCAAAACAAATTAACATATAGAAGCCTTAAAGTTGAACATTACACATTTAAAAGAGGAGCAAAAAAATACATTGTGATTTACTTTATTACTCCCAGAACCATTTCCTTCCCAATTTAATTTGCTCCTAGAAATAAACATACCTCTTTAGTAGTCTTAACATCAGGCTAAGCCTATAAGCCTTTTCTCAAATCTTTACTAAAGTTTTTGTGGACAAAGTGTTAAGTACTATACACAGTATGTGTAGTAGAAACAGCTGGTCCAAATACACAGATTTGAATCCTATCTTTGTGAATCTGGGCAAGTTACTTTATTAATAACAGCTCAACAGATATATAGAGCTTTATGTTTTACAAAATGCTTTCCTCCTGACAGTCCTGTGAGGTAAGTAGTGGACGTACTATTGTCATTTTACAGATGAGGAACCTGAAACTGCAAAGCTATAAAGAAAGTATAGTTGATATCTACTAAGTAAAATAGATGTTAGTTATTTTGGCCAGATTCACTTTTCCTGGAAGTAATATTACCTCACACATAATAGTTATGTCTAATTTTATCTAGAGTTGCTTATTTAAGTTTAAGACAGTATAGATAGAAAATAAGAGAAAAAGTGCAAAATACAGTCAGCTACTATATTTTTTTTAAATCAGGAATTGTAAAGAACTATATTTCAGATTGTCAGAATATCTTGGCACCTCAGGCCGTCAAAAGTTGTACCAAAGTCTGCTAGCTTCTTTCATACTGGAGAGCCATCAAGTAAAGTTTCAACATCAGGAATGCCTTTGGAATATGTGGGTGTTCAGGGAGGATTAGCACCTCTGGTTTAAGGGCTTGCCTAAGCCCTTCCCAAGGTTGCTTATCCACCTTTGGTGTCCACCTGGCACTCAACTCTTAACTGTGGCTCCAAGAAACTGTATCGGGCACAGTGGCCACACCTGGGTGAAACTCTCCAGATTAAGGGTGACTGATGGACCGCAAACTGTTACTGTGACAGCAGAACAAAGAGCATCCAGTATTAGACTGAGGGCTGTTTTGAATTTTTGTTTCAAGATTGCCATGACCAAAGAGCTCATTGCCAATTGGTGAGCCCACTGGTGATGAGCCTTACTTAACTTGAGACCTTGGAAAGCAGGTTGCTTGTTGCTGGGATAGTAATTGGGATAGTCATTTTACAGATGAGGGAACTGGGGCGATCTTTATGGAGGGGAAATATTGCTTAAAACTAAGTCTCAAGTAGAACCAATTGATAAGTATGTCTTAACCACCTAAAACATGTCAGGCCTCTGGGTTTGCAAAGACAAAGAAATGAGCTTATATTCTATAAGAAATGGAAGCCAGAGTTTTTATAATCCCTTATTAAAATAAGGTACTAGGGAAAATATAAAGGTGCAGAGTGGTGGCTACTGCCATAGCGTCAGGTCATCTTCCATCTACTTTATATTTATATTGTATGTTTTAATGTATATATGCCATATTTCGTTGTAATGTAGGCTCCTTAAGGTCAGGAGCTGTTATTACTTACTACCCTAGTGTCAAGAACATAGCATAGTAGGTGCTGAATAAATGCTTGTTGATTGATTAAGAACCCATGTGGATTTCACAGGAATTTTTGAGTTAAGACACTGGTAAAAGTCTCTTAAAATCTCAGGATTTTCTTCCTTTTCAGGAATAATGTGATATATTGGAAAGAGCACTGGATTTGGAGGTAGAGGATCTAGGTTTTAGTATTAGCTCTCCTACTGACCTTATACATTACAAGTCATAACTTTTGGACTTCATTTTCCTCATTCTATAAAATGAATTAAGTTGGGCTTAGATGATCCCAAAGGGTCCTTTCTAGGTAGAAAGATGAAAACCTCACATGTGCCAATCTCATACTTTAAGTAGATTATTTTATAATCATATTCCCATTTATTATATTATTTGATCCTTAGAACATAATTGTGAGAATGAGGGAGTTGTGAGGAGAAAGGGGTATGTGTGTAGGGGGTAAGTTCAACAAAAGTGGTAGGATATCATTAGTATTGTTACAGGGTAAGTAGCAGCTGAGGACTTGTAGTGGATGAGCACCTTTTTCCTCACCAGGCAAGGCAGTTAAGGAAACCTCAGTTCTCCAAGTATTTGGATCCTTAGTCAGGGATCAGCAACATTTGGGCCCTGACAAGTCTGTTAACCAAAATAAAAGATGGGGTCTGTGCTGCAGTATCTGTACTTAGACTTTGTCCTTTTGAAAACACTGCCTGATCTCCCATTTGGAAATCACAAGATTTAAAGCCAGAAGTGAATTTAGAAAAAGAAATTGAGGCCCAGAGAATTTAGGTTACTTTCTATACTTCAATTAATAAACCCAAAAGAATTTATCATGTTCTACTCTGTGCCAGGTTCTGTGCTACATGAATTATAACAAGGACCTTCTGGAGACAGTAAATAATTTTGCTGTTTCCATTGGATTGTAAATAAAATAGTTATAAACCAGTGTGGAGGAATTTGATTTAAATCTAAGTGACATTAGATCTGGAGCTCGAAGAGACTTCAGAGATCATATAACCCTCATATTTTTTGGATGAGGAATTAAAACTTAGAGAGTTTAAGTGACATGCTGAGGTTACACAGTAATCAAGTGGCAGAACCAGGGATTTGAATCCAGGTCTTTTGACTCCAAATCTAGCACCTTTCCCACCATATCAAACCATGCAGCTTCCCACCGTTTAGTGACTTCAAAAAATTTTATTTTAAAAAAATTAAATGGTCTTACCAAAGGTAATATTGCTCATTTGTGGCTTTAGAACCCAGGTTTCCTGACTTTTCCTACTACATTAAGAAAGGAAATAACAAAGTAATTAATAGAGAACTATACATACTAATTTGAGAATGAAAGAATGAATAATTAAAACATTGATTATGCAGTTAACTGTGTGCTGAGAAAACACTGCTAAGCACTAGGGATGCAGATAGAAAAGTCAGAGAGTCCCTGCCTCTCAAGGAGCTCACTTCAAATGGAAAGGTCTCATGGTCCTTAGGGTACAGTGGCAAAGTAGATGGAAATAGCTCTTCTTTAATATCATTTCCACTGGTAAAATCTTAACAGTTTCTGATGTTGAACCATTTGACTACTCCAGAGGCTTTGACAAGAACTGCTGACCCTGTCCCCCACCCCCACCTTCAGTAGATTGTGGTAACTTCAGGAGCCTTTGCCAAGCTTCATCTCCACAGGGATTATTTTCCAGGGTAATGGCTGAGGTCACTGGGTTGAAAGCATTGTCATTCCCAAAGCCCATGGTTGGGTTTAGAGCCTGACTTGTCCTGGGTCAGATTCTGAGGGGAGAAGTTGGTCAAGGTGGTAGTGGAGCTGCCCTGGCCTGCTGGGCACTTGCAGCTTCCTGTCCATCTCTGTCCTGGTTTATTCCTTCTGAAAGAGTGGCTTGCATGTTGTGTGAGTAGCAGTTCTTTGACAATTGGTGAGATTGGCTGCCTCTTCCACAGGAGTTGCTTTTTTTAGATGATGGGTATGAGAGCTGGGCTGGAAGCAGGACCGTTTGGGGGGGGGCATCCTTTTGTGTTTATCTGCCTCTTGGTGTGGCAGTTGGTTAGCAGCAGCAGCTGGTGATGGTGAGGAAGGTGGGCCCCTTCTCCGCAATGATTTCTGTCCTCAATGATGACTGTGGGAGCTGGGCCAGAGCAAGGCCTGATTTTGGGGGAGGGATACTATCTCCATCAGATTCTGAGGGGAGGGGTGGTGATTTGGCTGGCACATGCTGGCTTTGTCTCCCTCGGGGTGCCTTATTGCTTAAGCAGAACTGGTTTCTTGCCCTGTGTTTTACCTCAGTATAATAAAGCAGTAGTTGGCTTTTTATAAAATAGTCACCATTAAAATAAGACATTTTAAAATTAGTATTTGATCAGAAAATTCAAATAATACACTCTTATAATTTCAGAGTTAGGTAATCTTAGAATTTGAAAGGGTCTTCATGTTTCATTTAGTTCAAACACTGAATCACAAATTGAAATATTGTATGGAGTTAATTAGACTAGGAATTGGATGCATTTAACCCACTTGTGGTAGGAAACTTGTTCAGTGTTCAAAACAACCAATTTAGTTTTGTAACGTAACTCATTTATAGATTGAGAAAACACTAGTCTTGACTAAATTCTTTTCTACTGCAGACTGGTTTGTGCAATTGAGAGATTTACAAAGGTCTTTTTCTTACATTTGACCTCAGATACCAGCTGCTTGCAGGGTCTAGGGTAGAGAAATACTATCCAGAAAAATTGGCTCACGCACAGCTGTAATATAGTTAAGGAAAACCTTGTCTTCTAGTCTGAGGAGTATCCAGTTAGGACAGTTTATAGATTGAACATATTGCACTCTCCAAGGTATGGGGTGTGTACCGAGGCCTGAACCTTGCCATCTCAGGAATGGGCAATGTATTATCTCTAGTCCTCACTCAAAACTAGTTTATTGATTTAATTTCTAACTCCCTTTTTAAAGCAGATGACAATTTAAATCAGATTAGGTATTGGTGCTTTACCCTTCTGATAAGTGTGCTTGAGTTTATCTTTTTCCCCCAGAAGCAATTAATTGAAATTTGCATTTCACAGACAACCTTAAGAATGGAATCCAAACCTTCAAGGATCCCTAGAAGGATAACTGTTGAGCCCTCCAGTTCTTCCTTAAGTGCTCGAACTGTATCTGGAGGCAGAGGAAATGGTATGAGTGATGCATATCACCCAAGAGAATCTCCATTCAGACTGAATTCTGAGCATCAGGTAACATACTAATTTGAAACATTAAAATTATTTTCCCATTTACTGCATTAAGAGTTAATTTGTGAAGTTAAGTAATCAGATTATTGTGTATTTTAAAAAATTAAAATATCAGAATTAACTTTTGAATACAGACGACTAAATCAATTGTATATTTCTAAACTTTTAATAAGGAAATTAAAATTTGTTTTTCTTTTTCCTCACCTCCTCTTTGGTGGTGTTAAATCACAGTGCATGCCCAAAGCAATAATGAAATACTAAGTTGTTATTTTACATCCACTCCCCTGCCCCCAAACAAAACAAAAAGATTTTTGATAAGTTTAAAGAAAAAAGAATAAGTCACTAATGGGCTATTTTTTTGTATGGGATGCTAATGATCCAACATCAGTAGGACTTAAGTTTTGGCTTGTTGTATAATGATACCTCTATGTACTTTAACCTGAGGAACTTTTATGATGTTTTTTGGTTTTTTAATTGAAATGCCTAACTGGTGTTGCCATACTGTCAGTGATCTTGGAAGAAAGCATTATGTCAGGAGTATTATTAGGGAAAAGTGTAGTACATTGCAATTTAATACAGTTTACCTCATGTTAAGAAGTACTGGAGTTTTAGAAGACTTGAATATAAGTAGAGTTTAGTAATTTTTACAGATGTGCTTGGGGAATTTGCTAGTTATAGGACTCAATGAATTTTTAATAAAACTTACCTTGGAAAGTAAATCAGCATCCCTAATATATCAGTTTTATAAATCTAGATTCTGTATTGGGTTAAAATGAGGTTCTCTTCTATTTGACTGTACTTATGTCACATAAGAGTAAAGCAAACACCGTCCTTGTAAAATTGTCACCAACTCCTTGGTCAATCTTACATGACAGGTTGAAGCTTCTTAGTTCAAATTTTCTTGAAGGGGAGGGTGATAATCACATACAAGGTATGGGACTTTGACAACATTAATTTAAGATTTAGAACTTGTGTTCTGCTTCAGCTTCTGACCAAAAATAAAACAATTCCTTTCTCAAACCTGTAAAGCATATTGAAAATTGTGGTTATTAAATTAGGCCCTTCTTTTTAAGATAAATTCAGTTTCATGTAGATCAACAAGTTATTCTTAATAACTTCAGAGATAATGTGGCCATATATACTATTGATGCAGATTTTACTATTTGTGTGAAAATGGTGCTATGAAAGAAAGTTCTATATGCAGTTTCCAATGGTAACAGAACCACTTTTAGAACTGTCAGAGATTAAATTTATACACCTTCGGAACAGAACCAGAGTGTTGGAGAGCTTTCAGTACTCAATTGTATTTTTCTAGAATCAGCTTAGTCCTTAGGCTCGTAATTTTGAGCCTGAGAGAGGGGTACCTAGTCTAACCCCCTTACTTTACAGATTAGAAACATTAAGGCCCACAAAAGTGAAGAGTGGGCCACACAGGTAATAAATGACAAGGTGATCAAATCTGAGTTCTTGGATGTAAAATTACAGCATTCTTTCTACTTCCATTTCACAATATTTTGTTGTAAAGAAAGGTTTCAAAGCTGTTTTGTATTTTTGGGAGAGAGGAGTTGAAGGGAAAATGATCTTGAGTTTTGGAAATGGCCATTTCCAAAGACTTCTAGCATGTTATTAATATGCTATATTAATAATTTATGGTAGTTAATATAGATAAAAACATTCTGAAAGATGTTATGTGATAATGGTAGCATTTATATACTGAGGTTTTTGTTTAGTAATAGGTGTTTCGAACCCTTTTGTGTAAAGAGAATTCTGTGGCATCTTTGAGAGTCTTCTAGTTTCGTGTTCTTTGATATAGTTTTTAATACTACAACTTGTATTTCTCTAGTTTAATCCCAGGAAATCGAAGCAAATTTTCCAAAACCAGTACTGAAGATGTTCGATATATGTAAATCTGATTTGAATACCAAAGTACAATCAAATTGGAGTTAGGTTTAGAATCTAAATTATCTTTGACTAAAATTTTCATTGTTCAGAAAAATAAAAAACTGATTTAGGCTCAATGAATTGGATCTGTTCCCTGAGGGTTTGTTTTTTCTTTGCTAATATGACCATAGGAGCAAATTTCTTGGATTTTTTTTTTTTAATATGGCACTAGTTCCCATAATTGGTAAAATATTCCCAACCTGCTTTGCCCTATATAGGTCTAATCCTGACTGGCTTTTTGAGCACCTGAAATATATCTGAGTCAGATATTGAAACAGCTGTAATAGAGAACACCTCAGCATATTCCTTTTATTTAGAGATGAGACGCTTTGGTGCATAACTGGTATTATACTACTTCATTTGGGACTTGCTTCAAGGTAAATCTCCTCTATACATAGAAATTATAAAGAGGAAATACATGGCTTTAGGTGTATCCATTTGAGAGAGTATACTCATTTTTCCTAGAGTAGTTTACTCTGCCTTTCTTGCCCATCTTTTTCAATTAAAGAAACTCATATTTATGTTTTTGTTTGTTTGTTTTTGTTCTCCATGTTGTGTCTTCAATCTTGTGAATATTGGGTTCACAGATTGGGATGCCATTGTTATGATTTTTCTTTAACAGTTTTCTGAAAAACCTAACTTATATGAGCAATGACTACATGTCATCAGGCTCCAATTAAATAGGTTAGTTTAAATATATAACTGATATCCACAGAGAATAACATGGTGTACATTATTGAGCACAGTGTAGGTTTTTTGAAACTTTGAAAGTTTGCGTTTATAAATGCTATATCAGTTTATTCAAATTTATATTGGATTAATGTGGACATTAATTTATTGAGAAACTTCAAAATTTGGAGCATTTAAAATCTTTGAATTGTTCTATATAAATTCATGGTTTCTTAAAAAAAACACACTAAATGAACTACTGTTTAAATTTTAATCTTCCTCATGTTTTAGAGAATTTATAGATTCCATGATCTGTAAAAGGTATCAGCTAAAACACTTTGAGAATAAGGGAAGTCCTCAATTTATAAACATTCAATTTAAGAATGATTGTACATGTTAATGGAAATCTCACCCTTTTCATCAGCATACCTGTCCAGTCACTAACTGTTGTTAATGCTGGGACAGTGCCCTTCTACTCCTTTTCCCCAATAGTGTGGGGGTACTCAGAGGAACTTAAGACCAGAGGATTTAGGGCTCAGGGTTTATTTGGAGGATGCTGTTGTTTTTTATATACTATTGTTTCATTTGATTTCTGTTAAAAACAGATTTTTTTTTGGTTGGCTATTCTAATTAACTAGCATTCATAAAATTGTTTCTTTGGAAAAATATGTTGTGATTATAAATTGCTGTGTTTTTTGATTGATAGTTTGTAAATTGGGGACTTGCTGTTGTATATCTTTTTGATGCTTATTTTTGAAAATAAATGTGAATGGCATAGAATAGTTTGGAATGGATAAAAATTCTTCCAACCTTTAGGGTATAGTAGATGAATATGTGATTATTTGATGAGAAATTCTGTCCTTTTAAGATAGCAGCTTTCAAAGTAATTCTGTTCTATGTTGCCGTTATAGAGAAGTACAAAGGCATAAAAAAGGGGCACTGTGAATGTGAATTTAATGTACTTTTATCTGACTGCCAACTTAAATATGTATCACTTAGTTTACTGCTGAAATTCTAGCAATTTCTTTAATAGTTCTACTTTTAAATGTTACCTAGACACACACACATTTGTGCATGCACACCCAGTGAGGAGCTTAGGAGGTTTTGGATAGCCAGACCATTTGAAGTTTTGGCTTTCTGTGACTGGCAGACTTCAACCATATTTATACTCCTATAGGAGTATATGGTAGTTTATATGTATATATCCTCACTGTAGGAAGGATATAAACTATATTTTATACACCACAATGCATATGAGAGGAGAGTAAAGTTGGAAAGATCCTATACTCCCACATCAAAGCTGGGAGGGAAAGAACAGGCTAACAGATAACAAGTCTTTTTTACATAGCATATCTATGGGGGTGGAGAATTGCTTCTGGTTACACATTCAGTTTTTGTTTGTTTGGGAAGAAAGCTGAGGAGTTGGAATTTCATTATGGGAAGCAGCTATAAATCACAGATGCCCACAAATATTGAAGTATGCAGCAATCTAAAACCGTATTTTAAATGCTACTTTTCCCCTAGAAGACACAGTCATATGGCAAATCTATCAGGAAGGTTGATATGGTACCTTAGATGGGAGCTGATTGCTTAAAAAACTTTGGAAATAATCATTCACTAAGGATAAGACAAATGGTCAATTACAAATGAAAAGTAAAGTACTTACTTCATTTATAGTTTTTCCATTATACCTACTATTGAAGCTACACTGATTAAATAGTTAATTTGCAGAATTGAATGAACCCAACAAGTATGTGATAGTTATAGAAATGTTCTGAAAAGTTCAATTTTTATGAATCTCCTGCTTTGTACAGTGACATTTCTTGATGTGGTACATAGATAAAACATATTTTAAGACCCCTTTTACTGAAGCCTGGAATACACAGGAGAAGGAAATACTATGGGAATTCAGTTAATAGTGTTTAAATTGTATAGGCTATCGGAAAACTCTTTTGAGTTGGAAGCGAGTCATGAAAATGTTATTTACTCCAGGAGTCCAATCTGTTGCATACTTCTGGTAGAGACTGGGGATTTGGAGAAAGAGAAGCCCATGAAACTCCATGGAAATTTACCAGTTCCTCTCCAACTCACTTCTCAGGAACATTTGAGCGTCCATGGTCTGGAAGCTTTTTGGGAAGTAGAAGCAGATTGGTAAGACTCACATCAGACCTAAATTAGGTCTCTATTTTATGTGGGAAGGATGAGGTTGTCATGTTTTTTTACAATTCCTCTAATTCTTTGATTTTAAATTTCAAGCACATATTGATCACGAGATGCTTCAAAATGAATGAGATTTTGTATTCATTATCAGTTTTTTTTCCTTTAGTTTGTGGTTGAAGTGTAGCTTGAAATCTTAATTTGTGCCCTTTGCTTTTAAACCTCAAGATTGCCTTTATAACCTTGCCAAGAGTGAAGAGTTCTCCCATTTAAGGCAAATGTAATATAAATAAGGATCTTTTAGAAAATATCAAAACCAGTTACTTCCACCATCTCCTTTCTGCCTTGCCTACATAGTTTTTTGAGATTCATTTATTTATTCAGTAAACATGAAGTACGTTCGTTCCTTCGTTCCATTCAGGGAATATTCACAAGCCTTGTAGATACTTAAAAGACTTTCTTATCAATATTACTCCCTGTTTCCAACCTCCTTTTCTCTTTAATTTGACCTTTTATCTCAAAACCTCATATTGGTTTGGCACCCTGCCTAAAGATGCTTTTAAATTATGGTTTTAACTGGTGTGTAACTAAGTATTATTTATATTGTCAATCTGTTTTGTTTGTAGGGCTGCATACATTTTAGACCTTCATTTTGAGTCTTGTACTACCCTTTCCTTGCATTTGTCTTGATTTCTTTTTTGCCTAGATTTATTCGCAGTTGAAATTCTAAGATTCTTTGACTTTATTCCATTTCCAATAACCTTCCCTTCCTTAAGTTTTTTAAAAATGTCTGTTTTGGCAATATTAAATGTTTGAACATTTGACTCTATGTTATAGGTTCTACTAATGCCCAATCCAGGGCCCTTGTATGGAGGTGACCCCAGGGTTTTCAAAGGTTGTGCCAAAAAAAATATTAATTCAGGCAAATCTTTCCAAGTTGGAAAGGCTTGGAAGTGGGGGCCCAACAATGAACTACATATCCTTTCTGAGGTCAAATTTAGGCTAAATTTAGAAGGCTGAACTACAAGGTCAGTTTTTTTTTCTGACCACAGCAACTCTGAAGACCTTGGGAGAGTTGTAAACTTCTCTCAGATCATGATTTTTGGTTTCCATCCTATTTTCAGTAATCTTCTATTCACTAAGGTGGAGGGAGTCCCCACACCTATAAAATCATGATTCTTTTGAAAAAATACTGGGAAAAATGTTGTATGCAAAGCACTTGGGTGTAACAAAAAGCTAGCCTCATTCTTTAAGGAACTTACAACTTATCTGGGGTAAGTAAAGCAAATATATATTAAAAGTTAGCTAGTAAAATATTGAAATAGTTGTAGGCCATAGTATAAGAGATCTCTGAAGCAGTAGCTGAACTATGTATTCAACTATGTAGTTGCTAAAGGGATTCAGAGAATGATTCAGTCTGAATCAGAGCAGGTTTTTTGGAAGTGGGTTTTGGAGGCTAATTGGTGGGTTTGGGATTGGTAGAAAAGAGCTAAAAGTTTGATTCTTAACACAATTTATAGTTAACAGAGCTAATAAGATTTTTTATTTTTCATTTCTATATGAAAATTGATTCTTGATTTTTTAAAAAAGCTTTTTATACCTGGAAATAGTTTGAAAACTAAAATTTTGTATTTATGGGCCATAAAGAATCTTAGAGACCTAATCCAACTTCCTTAGTCAAAGCTTAACAGGAACTTCTGGTCTGCTTCTTAAATCTATATAAAACTTAGTAGGTGCTTCTGGGATTGATAAGTTAAACTCTGAATAGAACCATGGCCTTTTTTTTAATCTATTATAAAATTTTTATTAAGAAGCTTAGGAAAACTATCTAATTAGTAAATTTGTAATTCTTATAATAAAATTCTTGAGTTTAGTATGATTTAAACCAAACCTGTCAATATAATTTTTCCTATGTAGTTATAGTTTTATACTTTTGTGGTGCTTTTTTTTTTCTTTTTTTTTTGAAGTCTGCACTGCCATACCAGTGAATTAAGAATTATTTGTATGGGTGCTTCTGACATCTTCTAATTTTAGAGAAGCTAGCAAAATTTTTCTTGGCATTATTAGTTAAATTTTTCTTAACAATGTTGAAGAACATACTAAATCTTACTGGAGCATTCAGAAGGAGGAACCTCAGGTTTTAATAGGTTCAGGTGATGAATACTGCTTTATTTGCTGAATATTTATATCCCCTTGCTCCACGTTCACCAGTCACCGGCTGGAGGGAGGATTGGCATATGCTTGTCAAGTATATGATGAAATTCATTTGTATTTTCATATATTGAAACAATTAAAAGCACTATATTTGTAGTCAAGGAGGTTCTAGGTTTGAATTTTCTAGCTCTACCACTTATATGACCTTAAGATAAGTCATTTTATCCCAATTTCCTCTGGATTTTTTTCTCCATTTGTAAAAATGAGTGAGTTACACTAGATAATATCTAAGATCCCACCTGGTTCCAAATCCTAAGATCTCTATGATATGCTTATTATTAATTTTAAATTAATATTTTACTTTGTATTGACATAGCACCATCTGAAGATCTCAAAGCTGCCCTTTATCTTGTCCGTTGTGGATTTTTCAATATTTTTGTCTAAAACTTAAATACTCCAGTATAGAATTTGAATTAAATATTCAGTAGCATGCTTTCTGTTAGAAGTCAGCAATGGTTGGCACGTGTTGATATGCTATTATTTTAGCGAATGTGAATGTTATATTAACATTTTTACTGTTCAGGACCTATGTTATATTCCCTTTCTTGTTTATCCTTTCACAGAAAATTAAAAGAGAGAACCATATTGTAATATCATTTAATAACAGGGCTGTTCACCATATGCCTTTTTGTGGCAGCTTATGGTCTTAAAACATTTTCTCTCCCTTATATCATCAAAGCTTCTGATTTATATACAAAGTGTTTTCAGTTCATTTTTCTTGTTTTTATGTGGCGAACTAGCTTTTTAAAAAGGAGATAATTTCACTTAATAAATGGAAGTAAGTGATTTTGTGTAATGAAAAAAAGATAAATTCTAAGACTTAGCTGATTTGGGGTGAAGTGTTTAATGTTAGTAACATCATATTGTTGTTTTCGTGGTTTTTTTTGTTTTGTTTTGCTTTTGTTTTTAAATAGAGCTTCAGTGTTCTTTTGTGCCCTTGCTTTGACATACTGTTTCTAAGTAAGATTGTATTCTTCGAAGGTCATGTTCTAAGTCTAATTTCTTAAGTTGTCTAAGGTCTGAGTTGTCAAAGTTGAAAAGACTTAAGTGTTGAAAAGGACTTTAGTGTTTTGTGTATGTTTAGAATATGATCTGCTGTGTGTTTTGAGACATTTACTTTTTTTGTTAGAATCTGTTATTCTGGTAAAATGAATTTAGCATTTACAATTTTAATTTAAGACTACATTTATGTGTAGTGCGACTGTCTAGGAATGAGGTCTAGGGTATTTGGGGAGGGATTAATGGGAGGGATTAATGTGGGAGCAATTTTTAAGATTTTGGAAACGGGCCATTTTTTCAGAATTGTCTTGTGTTAATGGGGGTGACTAGTCATTATATAGTAGAAAGATGCATGGACCTCAGTTCTAATCCTGGTTCTATGAACCTTGAGCATGTTGCTTGAACTGAATCTGAATTATCATCTATAAAATGAGGGGTTTTAAGTAGATCACCTTTATGGTTTCTTCTACCTTGAAAATTCTGTAATTCTAATCATATTACTTGTGTAAAGTACCTTTTTTAAGTGAGTTGTTGCTCAGATTAGATTGCAAATTAAAACTCAGTTCTTTGAAAGCAAATATTTTATGTTTATGTAAAAAGCTTAATTATTAATTAAAGTTACACACTGTTGGATATGGATACCCTACTTGTGTGTGTGTGTGTGTGTACCCGCATGCAGCATACAAGGCAGAATTTACTCAAGTAAATCAAGGCCAGTAGAGAAGAATAAATGGTTCTTGAGCATATAACCATTTTAGATCAAATTCTACACTGCCGGTAGAATAGGAAGCTATATATTATTTGCATCTAATTTTTTTTTTTAAACTTATAGGCAACATCATCATCACTGACTTCACCTTTTCAGTCTTCATGGTATGGTGAATCTGAGAGAACCCAGGGGGCATACCCAAGATTGCAAAACCAGCAACGAGAACATGATTCAAAGAGGCCTAAGCTTTCCTATACAAGTTGTACAACTACCTCAGCTGGGAGAAATAATGGAAGTGGTTTGAATTCAATATCAGGTAATAATAATTAGGGGTCAAAATATAGTAAACTATTTTCGAAAACAGAAAAATTTATGATTTTTGTTTTCATAAAACAAAATCCTTGAAATAGCCAAATATTTGGAGTTGAATGGGTAGAAATGATTTTATAGGCTGTGAGACTGAAGCATCAGTTTTGTTAAATGTCCAGGGTCATAATGCAAGTCATTACTGGAATTAGAAAGTGAAACTTAAGAATTAACCTTTTTAATTTAGTGCCTATGTCTGACACAGAAAACTTTTAACTTTTTTTCCCCCTAAATAGACCTGTTTATTTTAAATTATATTAAAATTGATCAATTAGACATTTATTTTGATATTTTCAAAATTTGTTAGAAAGACAGATAAACTATCTAAAGAGGTTTTGTTTTTCAAAGCACAATTTCTGGCCGAAGGCTGATTGATCTGCTATTTTTATTTCCAAGAGTTTTGTAAATTAAAAATAAAAATGGACTGGGAACAGGGGCAGCTAGGTGGTGCAGTGGGTAGAGCGCCGGCCCTGAAGTCAGGAGGACCTGAGTTCAAATTCGACTTCAGACCAAACACTTGACATTTACTAGCTGTGTGACCCTGGGAAAGTCACTTAACCCCAATTGCCTAAAGATTAAAAAAAAAAAAATGGACTAGGACAACAAGTTGTACTAGCAAGTTTTTTAACTTGTTAAAAAAAAAACCCTAACAAAGGGTTTTTAATCCCCCTTCTGTTTTCTGACTGAGACTTTTGCACTTAATTTTTCTATGCCTCAGTCTCTTTCACCAATATAATGAGAATCTTAAGTTGTATTTCTCAGGTCCTTTTCAACTCTTTCAGTATGGAGTGAGAGATAGAATTTTTAAAGTATCATTTTATGCTTAAACGATTAAATAAATTGTTAGCATTTCTCTTTCAAAATATCAGTTTTTATATTTAAATTCACCCTTTGGGCTAAAACTAAAAATCCTTTGAGAGTATTTTGTATATATTTAACAGTTCTAAAGATAACCAGGACTTACCTATTTTTTAACTGGATCTTCTAGGTTTTAAATAATTTTGCTTGATGTATTCAAACTTGTTTGGGGGAGGTGGGGTTATGACAAGGAGGTTCTGGTGAATGTGAAAATCCTGATTCATTCTGTTACACCAGATATCAAGGTTATCATTTCATGCTTAGGCATTTGTGTTGAATTTTTAGTCACCTCATTTCAGGACCCAGCTGCGTTATCAATTCAGTGAACTAATTCTTGAAAATCTTGTGTCCTTAATACCAGGATACATTTCAGGCATTGCTCTATTTTCTTTCCCTCCGTTTTTGCCACTTGAAAAACTGAAGTTGCGTTATTTATAGGAAAGATGGGAGTAAGAGTCCTAATAAAATGCGGGCTTTAAAGTTCTTTACATCTAGCTCATAAAATATGGTTATGAAAGACTGAACCATAGTAGTTATACATCCGTGGGGCATAATGATGAATCCAAAATTCTGCTTTTACAGTTGTCTAGAACTAAATGTTCTCACTGTGATAAGATAATTGAAATATTTTCAAGGTAGAGCAGTCTCATTATTTATAATATTTCGTAACTATAGCCATTCCATGGAAGTATTATATTCCAAGTTGTGAAAAAGAATGTAACTTTTGGCATGGTACTTTATGTCATTAAGAACCAAAAACTTACCTGAGTTCTCAATTTTTTTTTAATATAGTACAGCTACCAGTTTCACCCTAGCCTGGTTGGAAACTGTACTAGTAATTTGCTATCAGATTGTTTGGTTCCTAGAAAATGGTGCAGTTACTACATGCATTATGTTTCCAAATGTATGAGCTCAGCTTATAATGTGGTAAAGTGATGGAAATGTGGATTCAGAGTAAGCTAAGTGAACATCCGTAGCAGCATTTTCTCTCAATTTGGGGGGGAAAAAAGAGTGAGTATGTGATTGTTTTCTTTATGATAGTCTATGAAAGTTGAACATACTTGAACAATTTACTTTTATAATCTGGACAAATTCCTCTATTACTGTATGCCTTCATTCCACCTTCCATGTTAGGAATATAGGACCATAAGATTTAGAACTTAGATTGTCTAGTCTATTCTAACACTTCCATTTTACTCTTGAGGAAACTAAGAGGTCTGGAAGGGTAAAGTGACTTTCCTAATATTGTAATTAATTACAGAAAGAAGTAGAACCAGGATTTGAATTTGTTTCCAGGTTTAGTCTTCTGCCTGATCTTTTTAATTTTTTTTAAAGGTAGTTGGGTTTAAGTGACTTGCCCTGGGTCACACAGCTAGTAAATGTCAAGTGTTTGGTCTGAGGCCGGATTGATTTCAGGTCCTTCTGACTTCAGGGCCGGTGCTCTATTTACTGCACCGCCTGATTGCCCCCGCCTGGTCTTTTTTGCCACCATACCTCACCTCATCCTCCTATACTACCTCAAATTAACACGCCAGTAGATTTCATTGATTTCTTTCATTTCCACACTCCAACCTTCACTCCTTCAGGAAATGCCCCTTGGTTCCAATTCTGCTTGTTTACTCTGCCTGGAAAATGCCATCATGATCATTTAATAGCACATTTCATCCATGTATCTGACTTTTGGAAGAGAGGCATAGTGAGAATGGGGTCATCGTATTTGAGAAAGGAGAGAAAGAACTTGTATGGGATTGTTGGGAGAATGGATTCCAGATCCTTAGTATTATAACTGAAGATGAACTAGGATATTTCTTTGTATCCAGGAATTTTTGGTGACTAGTCCAGGAATCTGCCCTCATCTTGCCAGGAGCAGATGAGCTGGCTTAGCTCATCAGTTGTAAAGCAGGAGAAAGGGAGGCCATGAACTGTCTCTTATGGACAGCTATCCCTCTCCCTTCTCCAAATTAGTCACAGGTTTCACATGTACTTTCAGTACTTCTCTTATAAATAGAAATAGTGAAAGAAGACACCTCTGACCTTAAAAAAAAAAGTATATGAATAGAAAACTTTGTTTTTTGATTGCTGAAGTTTTAATGTAAACCATTAATTTTTTGTTTGTGAATGCAACTGAGCTTCACACAAAGCTGTCAGTGAAGGAAACAGCTGTTCATTTCTTTCCCCTTGTTTTAATTCAGAATGAGGGTGTTAAAGGCATCTGGTAAGAAACACAGGGGACACTCAGGCTAACACTTAGAATCTTTAACCGTGACCAGGATTGGTCACAAGGCTAAAATCTCCCATAGCTTAGATTTCACTTCTTAACAGTGGATGGCTATGTTTGCTTTTGTTACTTCCATGCTAAGGCAGTTCAAACATGTGGGTGAGACCAAGGGTTTGACCGGGACAGGGAGAAGGGTAGGGCAGGCAGTTTTTTTCCCCCTTGAATTCCATTGGCTTTCCATTTCTAGTGTCACAGGCAGTGAAATGGACTTACCATTGCATTTATATAGCTTTTTCCTTGGAGGAACATCCATCTGTATTTCACACTTATGATTAGTAGGCATCCCTTGAGTGTTTACATTATTAGAGCTAACACGTAGATTGAGTTTCTCTACTTCTGGCCATACCATACTATGTACCTTAATGACTAGTGATTGGCATTGGCGGGGAGGTACAAAGATTTGATAAAACATTGACACTGCCTTAGTGGAATTTAATGGTCTAGTTTAGGAATATGGCATAAATAACCAAAATGCAAAATAGTTCTTAGAGGGGTGCAAACAGAATGTTTTGTGAGGGTTAAATGAGAATAAGGAGCAACTAGCAATATCAGGTAAGGTTTAATGGAAGAATTGTCATTTGAGTTGTACATTGAAAGATGAATAGGAGGTTATTAGGTACAATGAAAAAGAAAGAACATTCAATACCTAGGGAACAGCTTGAGTAAAATACAAGAAGGTGGAGGAATACACGGTTTGCTTGGGGTACTGAGAGCAGTCTTATATGACTGAACACAGAAAGTTGCAGGGAATTATAGGAGATAAGGATGGTATAGAAGCTGGTATCTTACTATGGAAGCCCTTGAATGATCAGCAGTAGAGTTGGAACTTGGTTGAAAAAATTTTGAGTACAGGAATCATGGCCAGAAATGCTTAAGGAAGATTAATTTGACTTCAGTTTGATGAATATACTGGAGAAGATAGATGGTGTAGAGAAAACCTCTTGAGAAGCTTTTACAGTAGTCCAAATAGGTGATACTGAGAATCAACAGTATGTTGTATCAGAATGAGTCCTGGATGAGGAGTAAGAAGAAGATTTGGTTTCAGATCTCAGCCCTGTTATTTGATCTTTGGACCTCAGTTTCTTCATCAGTAAAATTGAAATAAAAGTAATATGTACTTCACAGGATTGTTGTAAGGAAAACTCTTGGCAAACCTTAAGATGCTTATTATAGTTGTCTAAAGAATTGAAAATGGCAATTGGGAGGTACATGGTAAACATGAGCTGGCATAAAAGTATCTCATCAAAGAAATGATCATTATGCAATCCTTTTGCCCTTGGAATATGGAAATGTTTGTGTTAATTAGTATTTGTCCCATACAAAATAATAAAAATTAATTATTTTTAACAAAAAATATTGTAATTTAAATGAAAAGGGCTGGCACACTGTGAGAGTGAGGATCAACTGATGGTCATTCTGTGTACCACTAGTATTCTTGCAGTATTAACAGGGCAAGCTAGGCCTCCAGTGTTTTGGGTTGATTCCTCATGGTGAACTTAAGAAGGTCAGGAACAAGAATTGCACAGAATCAGCAGCCACAGATAGATTTCTGTCTATATCTTTGAAGGGAAATATTCACATAGATGAGATCATGGATCTATTTGCATTGGGATATTAGGGATGAGGAAGATAACACCAGGGTTTTGAACATAGGTGCCTAAGGTGAATGATAGTGCCACTGGTGCCACTGATGGAAATAATAAAATTATAATCATATTTAGGAGAAGATAAAAAGGTCAGATTTGAATGGGTTGAATTTGAGATGGCAATGCGATATCTAGGTGACAACAGCCTCTAGAAAACTAGAGGTGTAGATCTGTAGTTTGAAGAGAAATCAGGATTGGAGGTAAAGATTTAAGAATAATCTGATTTAGACGTGATAGGTGAAGCTGTCAGAGTGGCTAAATCTACCAAGGGGAAAAGTATAGTGAAAAATAAAGAAGGTCAGTGAGACAGTGTAAGTTGAAGTACCTGGCATAAGGTGAAAAGAAGAGGGGAGGTAGTCATTGAAAGGGAAAGCAAAAACATTAGAGATTTAAAAAGAGAACCAGGAGAGTAGTATCTGTGTTTTAGAGAGAGAGGTATCTATGGGGAGGATGGGTTCTATTCTAATCATAATGTGTTGCATTTAGAGTTGGAGGATGAATACTCAGAAAATCAAATTATTGACTTTGTTGTATATAAATAGAGCCTTCATTAGAAGGTGCCTTTTGAATTAAAATACATCCTGCTTGCCTAAGATTGGTGTAAAATACTGGGTTGTGTAGAGAGCCCACATTTTAGAATTGTATTTTCTGTAGATAATAATGCTTTGAAAAGCTTACAGGGTTGTGAAGAAAACTCTTTGTAAACCTTTAAAACATGATACAGATGTGAGTTCGTAATGCCTGAAAGGTGATAATGATAAGGCAGAATAGTGAAGCTCGGTTTTTTGTTTGTTTTGTTTTTCTACTTGATAGTATTTTATTTTCCTTCCAATTATGTGCAAAAATAGGTTTCAACATTCACTTTTACAAGATTTTGAGTTCCAATTTTTCCCCTTCCCCAAGATAACATGCAATCTGATATAGGCTGTACATGTACAATCATGTTAAACATATTTCTACATTAGTCATGTTGTGAAAGAAGAATCAGAATGAAAGGGGAAAGCCATGAGAAAGAAAACGAGAGAAAATAATATGCTTCAATCTGCATTCAGAGGCTCTATAGTTCTTTCTCTGAATGTGTACAGCATTTTCCATTGTGAGTTCCTTGGGATTAAGTCTTAGATCATTGCATTGCTGAGAAAAGCTAAGTCTATCAAAGTTGATGATCGTACAGTGTTGAACTAGATTTTTAATTGTGCAGTTTTACTGCTACTTTAAAATAAATTTGACTTAGAAATTTACACATTTTTGAGTCGACTAGGGCACAGATTCTTGGCCATTATCTCACTTCCATTAGTATACAAATTTAGAATCTCCTTAACACCTTCCCCCTCTCCTCCCAAAAAAATTACTGGGGCTAATTTTTTACACACTTGTTTTCTTCAAGAGGCAAATAAAATTACTATTATTCTTGGCATAAAGTTTTGATTTCTTGAGGTTGGTGGTTTGCCTTGTACAAAGATTAATCACTTATTATGGATAAAATTGAATGCAATAATATTGTCTCTTAAGTTGTTTTAAATTGCAGCCCAGTGAAATAAATATTACAAATAACTAGTCCAAATTATTTATGTAACTTCTAATTTTAGCAATTGGTGTTAATAGAAGTTTTGTCCCAACTTGTTTCTGCAAAATAGGAGATCTAGTATGACCAATCATGATGTATTTTATAGCCTCAAATATGGGTTGTGATGCTTAATAGACTAGATTTTTATAGGGTTTCATTAGAGAACTGCTCTTCCTTGTATAGATCTTGACCTGTAGGCAAATAAGTGCCCTTTTTGTTTTCATTATGCAAAAGTGACATGGCATTTCAAAAACATTGGTGGCTTATTTTCTGTGAAGGATCTGCTATATTATGTACCCCCAAAATGTCTGATTTTAAGTGTGTGTTAGTTAATCATGTGGATGAATTTTTAAAGTCATATTATAAGCTTTTTAATTTAAAACTTCACTTTTATTTTTAGATTCTTCTTGGAGACATAGTCAGATTCCCAGGTCTTCTTCAATGGTACTTGGATCACTGGGGACTGAATTAGTGAGAGAAAGAAGAGATCTGGAAAGGAGAACAGATCCCTCTATTAGTCTTATGGATTGTAGTCACAGGAGTGGTGATTTTACATCTTCATCATGTATGTTTAAACTATATTTTTACTTGTGGCTTGTGTAAAGTGCAGTTTCACATTGTTTTACATGTATTCATTGAACTAATAATAGAAAGAAATGAGTACAGTTTATGGCATTAGGTGAAGAGGATGGAAGAACAAGTTGAGAAAGCTACTTTATTATTTGGGCTTGGGAACCCCAGTTACTAAGGTGAGTGTTTGTTTGCCAAATTATTTTACCTTTCACAACCACACTCCTAGAAAAAGAAGTCTAAACCTTTGCTTACACTTCCATTACTTCATTCACTTTAAATTTTTTGATATCAAGCTTCCACTACTATCTTCTGACCAAAACAAATCTCTCCAAGGTTTGTCAGTACTCTCATTAAATCTTGTGACTTGGTTCTCAATTCTCATCCTTTTTGTGACTTCTCTGCATCATTTTAAAAATAAAAAAAAAAATTCAATGAACTCTCCCCATTAAAAAAAAAAGAGATTTAAAAAATAGCAAAACAAATTCCCATATTGACCATGTTTATTTAGTCCCTTAACTCTGTTGACTCTCCCATTCTGGATGTATCTGTAGTCATTTGTTATGTGGTTTTTTCCTGGTTATCCTCCTACCTCTGACTGCTCCCTTTTGGCCTTCTTTACTGAGTCATCTCTCTTGTTCCTTTATCATGGATAATCTCCCAAGATTCTCTCTAGGCCCTGTTCTCTATGTCTGTGCCCTCTCTTGGTAATCTCATTAGCCCACAATAGATTGACTTATATTTATGGAAATGACTCCCAGAGCTATTTATCTAAATATTTCTAATATGTTCATAATTTCATATAACTTAATGCCTGCTAGACATTTCCTGTTGTGTCCTGTAAGTATACCAATTTTAGCATTTCCAGATTTTATGATCTTCCTTAATTCTGCCCCAAACTTCTCTGTATCCATTGAGGCAACTACCATTTCAGTCATTCAGGTTTAAAACCTTGGAGTCATGTGTCACATTCTTCTGTGGTCTTTCCCCAATATCTAATCATTTTTTTATTCATCAACTTCAATTCTGTCTCCCTCCTTTCTGCTGATAGCCACTACCCCAGTTTAGGCCCTAATCACCTAGCAACTCTGAAATCACTAGACTAGTGATTCTAGAACTTCTATGCCCCCAAGATCCTTTCATTAGGTCTGTGATATCAATACTGTGTTTATAATTATACTAAGACCTTATTTGATTGTTAAAATATTCTTCTCTTTTCCAACTATATATATCTTTTACTTCAGATTTTCTTCATATCACAACCAAACATCCTCACAACAGATTGAATGCAGAAATAAATAAGAGAATCTATCTTTCTGCTAAGCCATGTTTAACAGATTTGCACAAATATGTAAAACAGTGTCATTTTTCTCACTAAATTTTTGTTTTTAGAAAATAATTTTTTCCATTAAAATATTTTAATAGGTAATGTTTTTATTTTTAAATGAATAACTTAGTATTTTAAACAATTATAACTTCTGATACTTGTTAGATATTGACAGACATAACCCAATAAAACAAAAACTCTTTGGGATACTCACTTTTTAAGAGTATAAAGGGATTCTTAATAATTTTTAAGTCTAGGAGTTTTGGGATCAAAAGATTTGAGAATCGTTCACTTGCTCTTCTACTTACATCTCAGTTGGACTTTTTGCTTCTAGTCTTCACTTTATTCTTCATTCAGTTGTCAGAATTTATAATATTTATGTTCATATATCTCACTCCTCTGCTCAGGCCTCTTCAGTGACTCCCTATTGCCTCTACTATAAGTACATATTTCCAAGGTTGGCATTTAAACCTTTCACAATCTGGCTCCAGAATGTCCTTCCATGTTTGTATCACATTCTTCCCTTTCATCACACTTTTTTGATCAAACTGACCTTTGTACCTCTGAGGACTTTGTTTCTGATCAACATAGTCAGCAAAGACATCTTTCTGAAGTTGTTGGACAATAATACATTCTCTCTCAAATGGAACATTAGAATTATCCATTTTTTTTTTAATTTTAAAATTTATAATATTAGATATTAGAATTAAGCCAAAATAAGGTTTAACGTGCCACTGTATTTTTGTAATAGAACTGCATCTCATACATGGTAACATCTATTCAGTGAGTAGAGTAATGACAAAATGAAGACTATGCCAACAAATGTAACTTTTTAATATTTAAATTACTATATTCAGCTAATCATTTTCCTCTGTTGTCTCTTACTGTTTTAATAATAGATCTTCAAGATAGAGTTGCTTCTTCATATTCTCAAGGAGCAAGACCAAAAGAGAATTCACTGAATACTTTGAGATTAAATACATCATCCATGAACCGTCAATGGCCTTCTGAACATCAGTCCTCCTTTTATTCCAGAGAACCAAGCAGAAATTCTTCCAGATCAAACTTTTCTCGAAGAGAAATGGAATCTCCCCAAAGGAGCGTACAGCAAGGTTTTTCTTACATCCCAAATAGAGATGAAGCTCCTTCTGTTAGCAATTCTGAAAGGATTGGTTCATCTCAAAGATCATTGGCTGAGCCTTCTAATGACACTGAAGGAAGACGGACAACCAGGCAGTTGTTATCTCGTCTAGCTTCTAGTATGTCATCTACCTTTTTTTCACGAAGATCTAGTCAGGATTCCTTGAATACAAGATCGTTAGATTCTGAAAATTCCTATCTTGCCCCAAGAGTTCTGACTTCCACACAATCTAGTGGTAGTGCAGCTTCATCTTCTGAAGTTCCAGATAATAGAACACCTGAATCTTCTCAGGGATTTAGATTTCTTAGGCGAAGGTGGGGTTTATCATCTGTTGGCCAAAATCCTAACTCTGAGACTGGTTCAGAAAACTTTAGTCAAGAGTCTGAAAGTAGAAATGCTGGTTCCTGGTTGTCCTCCTCTCTAAGAAATAGATGCACACCTTTATTTTCAAGGAGACGTCGAGAAGGAAGAGATGAATCTACACGAATACACACTACTGATGTGCCATCTAGACCTCAGCATGTTTTGAGAAGAGAGTCTAATGAAGAAGTTCACCTTGAAACACAAAATGAGTCCCTTGGGACTACTGCCAACAGATCACAAACCCCCACAGTACCCAGCAGTGCTGCTGCTTCTGCTGCTTCCACACCAGATTTGGCTCACAGTGGAAGAAGTACAGGAATATCTGGAATTCTTCCTGGTTCCTTATTCCGATTTGCAGTCCCCTCTGCGCTAGGAAGCAGTCTATCCGACAATGTCATGATCACTGTAGATATTATTCCCTCAGGTTGGAATTCATCTGATGGACAGAATGATAGAACTAAAACTCTACCTTCAAGAGATCCAGAAAGGCTACAGAAAATAAAAGAGAGGTAAACTAATGTATTTTTCTTAAAGCCAAGTTCTGTATAGCGATATAGAAGTTCTTTATGTAATAATATGCTTAGAGTTTCTCCTATTTAAATGCTTTCCAGTAATATTGATAATTGAACTGAAAACTTTTGAAGTAAAGTTAGACTCTAAGGTCTGTATGCTATATACTTAGGTACTTAATGTAATTCTAAGAAATAGTTGGATTGAATTATGTGTATTGATAATTAAGGGTAGATAATATCAAAGAATAATATGAAGTTTTTATTGTCTTGGAATACAGAAATACACATGAAAAAGAACGTTGTTTTTTCCCACCCCTTGACAAAAAATCCAGCTAAACTTCTACTAGAAGAGGTCTCAGGTTGTTGGATAATTGCTGTAGAAACTTCTTGTAGCTGTTTAGAATTTCTTTCCCCTTCCTCTGGTTTTTCTTAGCATGAAGCAGCCTAGACCTTCTCTTCTGGTCCAGACCAGGTAGATTGAGGGTGCCAAGAAGAGGTTGTTCCTACATTAGGATAAATTTTTAACCTTCTTTGACATTAACTAATTTGATTTGGCTTGTTTTGCTGCTGTTTGACACCTAGACTTTACTAATAATTAAGTAAAGCTATATATATCCCTCAGTTAAAAGGAGAATTAGCTTGATGGGTGCTTCCCTCCAAGCATTAAAGAATTTGTCCTGTTAAGAAATCAGGATGGCACAAATAAGATTGTTGGGGAGAGAATTGGTAGAACTGGCAAGCTGTCTGTGTGAGAAGACCCTGGGGAGAGCATCAATTTAAAGTGAATGGTATTGCTATATAGTATTACATTCAGATAATGTGTAAAGAAAACAATTATAAATCAATACTGCTTGAATTACTATTGTATTATTTCCAAGTGAATGGTAATATAATTTCTTAATATGTTGCTGTAGGCTCACCTTGGATAGTAAGTAGTTTTTCAATTCCCCAGTAAGTTCAGTGGAAGTAATTTAGAAATTAACCTCTTATACAACAGACTTGTGAAGTAATTCTAACATGAGCAGTACATAAATGTGTGGAGCTGGGGTAAAAGTATTTTGCTTGAAGAGAAAAAAAATATGTTGTCACCATTTGTTTCCTTTTTCTTCAGTCTTCTTTTAGAGGACTCTGATGAAGAAGAAGGTGATTTGTGTAGAATTTGCCAGATGGCAGCTGCATCCTCCTCCAACCTTCTAATAGAGCCATGCAAATGCACTGGAAGTTTGCAATATGTTCATCAGGAATGTATGAAGAAGTGGCTACAAGCCAAAATTAATTCTGGTAAGATTTACCTGTTTTCTGACAAATTTTTTCTTTCTAGAATTAGTGTAAGATTTGTTCTATGCCTGAGGTTCTGTGACTAAGTGATGTATGTTATGTATTGGAATTATAATCTGAACTCAAGAAAAATATACCTGCCCACTGAATTAGCTCCAAAGAACTGTTAGTTTGTTTTTCATACCATCACAGAATCTTTTAAGGAGAAAGTTAACCTCAGAGGGACTTTGGAACAACTTCATTTGAAGAACACAAGGCCCAAAGAGTTCAAACAGGTCTAAAAAGGTCATGTAGTCGATTTAGTTCAAGAGTTACCATTGGAATCCACCTTTATTGATCTCTTCTCCCTTCCAGTGTACTTTATCCCACAAAATCCCTATTCAGCAGCTTTCAGCTACTTAGCAGCCTCTTCACATGTCTACAGTATGGACATAATGGATACTTGCATTGATGACCTTAGGATATTGTGGGATCTTTCATCTGCAAAATGAAAAATATTGTCTCTAAAATTCCTTTCAGTTTGATTTAGGGAAAAAAAAATTATATTGTTAAACATAGCATGTGGTAGTTGTGTTTCCATGTACAATTGCGTGTGTATATATGTATGTTTGTGTTAACTGTTAGACAATTGTCCCTTCTCTGTCCTGTTACAAATGCCATTTGTATTCTGGATTCTAGTTTTGATTCATTTTGTCAGACTTTTCAGTGAGCCAAGATGTATTTAAAGGCAGTGTGGTTCTGGTGAAAAGAGCATAGAACTTAGAACCATAAAACTTAGATTTGTATGCCCACTTTCCAATTTATTAGCTGTATAACTTTGAGCAAGTAACTGAACTGTTTGTTTCTCTGTTTCCAAAAGTAATACCTCCCTTGCTCCTTCTCACTAGTTGTCAGGATCAAATGAAGTAAAGATTGTGAAAATGATCTGTAAATGTTGTATATTCATTTTTCTTTCTGGATTGTTTACCTTCCAAGCTTATGTTTTTTCAGGATTACCACTGAGCTTTTTCATTGACAGTAATAGATTATGACAGTACTAGATTATGCCCTTGTTCCTATGATATTGTTTAATAAGTAACGAATTTATAATGTGGATGCTAGAGGTATTACCATCTTTTTTTAAAATACGGTTTTAGTGATGCTGTAACTACTCTATAGAATCCTTTTGGCAAGACCCCTATGATTTTGCCAGTATTCATAAAGACAAGAAGCCTGAAAATGACTATTGCCATTTGGTTTATGGCATTGTAGTTGTTAACTAATATCTATCCAAATAAATGTCTGAACAGATTGTTACCATCCCTCTTTTCAGTTACTTTAAGAGAACAAAATTTTATATCCTTTGTGTTATCACTGTTTCAATTTAATGCCAGTGTTCCTAGGTGAAATTTTATCTTTGACTTTCCTTTTATAGCTTTTAGCTCAAGTAATTTAAAGTTGACTGTTGTGTTGTTTTCTTGTAGCTGAAAATGGATTGATAATAATTCAGGTGTACTTATACATTAAGATTGACTAAAGTATTAGTATTCATGACCCTTCTAATTCATTGGTCTGTATATAATCCTTTTTTAAAGTAACTGGCATTTAAATAATGCTTTAAATTTTGTAAAGCACTTGGCATAATCTCATTTGACTCTCAAAACAATTCTGTTAGGAAGGTATTACCTGCATTTTACAGATGAAGAAACTGAGGCTCATATTTGAACAGTAGAGAGAAGTTTCCTACTTATATGCTAGTCAGTAGGAATACAAAAATTATTAAAAGGACAGTCTCTGTTCTCAAGGAGTTTATATGGGGTGGGGGAGTGCAGAACCTGGGTTCAAATCTTGACTCTGCCATCTGTATGACCATAGGTCAGCCACTTAACTCTGTAGACTTATTTGTTAAATGAAGGAATTAGGATCAGGTGACATAGATCTCTTCCTATTGTAGATGCGTACCTGACAGTAGGTGTCTGTGCAGTTTTGCAACTTCAGTCTTCTTTTTGTTTTTGACATCTCTTAAGATCTTAAACTCTGAAATTCCTCTGTATGACTAAAACCCCTTTCCTTCCACCTCTCCAATACTTCTTTGCCCTGTCATGATCTCTCAACCCTCTATTCCATCCTGTTTTCATAGTCTTCCATCCTGCCACTTACTACTCTTTAATGTCTTCATCTTGTTTTTAGTGATTTCAACGTTTTTCTTCCTTCCAAACTTGAATCTTCAGCTTCTACTTTTCCTGTGTTGCATTCTCTGGATAGCTCACTATTTCATCAATGGTGGGATTTCCCTCTTCCTCCTCCTGAGCAGTGGAGCCCTGCTTGGGAAAGTTACAAAACTACGACCTGAGTTCAGCCACATTTTTCCTATTTTACCTTAAACGAGGTTTTATTCCTGCGAAGAAATGGCCAGAGGCCTTCAAGTGGAATTTAATGATTACTTCTTAGTAACATTGTAGAAGAGATTCTTAAGATCAGTCAGTCAAAAAGCATTTATTAAATGATGCTTCCTATGTGCCAGGCCTACAATGAAAGGCAAAAACAGGATCCCTGCTTTCATCAGCGACACTATGATGGATGAAATTGTGTGACAGAAAATTTTGCATACAAAATGCTTGCATTGTAATTGGAAAGTAATCTCAGAAAGAAAGCACTACAATTAGGGGAACTAGTAAAGGACTCTTACAGAAGATGGGGTTTAAGCTGAGGATGGAATGAACCAGAAGGCAGAAGTGAGGAGAGAATATATTTCAGGCATGAAAAACAGCCTGTGAAAAGGTACAGCTCAGAGATGAAGTGTCATGTACTAGGAACAACAAGAAGACCAGTATTGCTAGATCATAGAGTAGGTAGAGTAATGATAAGAAGACCAGAAAAGTGGGAGGAGGTCAGGTTGTGACGGGCTTTGAAAGGGGAGGGCTGGGGGCAAATCCCTAAAGATATAATACAATAGGATGCTGGAGTTTGAAAATAGGGGAATGACCTGGCCAGACCCACAGGTCTTACTTTATTGAGCTCATTGATCCTTTCCTTCCCTGCCTTCCCCATCTCATTTTCATCTCTTCCCTCTAGTAACTCCATTCCCTCTGCCTACAATTTCTCCACCCTAGGAAAAAACTTTCTGGCCTCTTTAAGCTATTTTAGCTCTCTTCCCCCTCATTGTTAAACTCATAGGAATAATGCATACTTGGTCTCTATCTTTTTGCTCCTCAGTATCTTGCAAGTTAAAAACAATGTTTTCTGAAATGAAAATGATATAACTAGCATCCCTTTTTTATAGGATTTTATTGTTTCCAATTCCATGTAAAGACAATTTTTAACATTTCATTTTTTAAGTAAAATTTTGAGTTCCAAATTTTGTCCCTCTCTGTGTTCCCCTACACCTCCCTAAGATGGTAAGCAATTTGATTTAGGTTACATATGTGCAATTATATAAAACACATTTCCATATTAGTCATGTTGTGAAAGAAGAAACAGAACAAAAAGAAAATAATAAAGTGAAAATAATATACTTCAATCTGCATTCAGACTCCATCAGTTCTTTCTCTGGATATGGATAGAATTTTCCATCGTGAGTCTTTTGGAATTGTCTTGCATCATAGAGCTAAATCAGCCATAGTTGATTGTCACACAATGCTGCTGTTACTATGTACAGGTTCTCTTGGTTCTGCTCACCATCCCCTTTTATTTTTTTTATTTTTTAATTTAATTTTATTTATTTTATTTTGGGGCTAGGCAATGGGATTAAATGACTTGCCCAAGATCACACAGCTAGTAAGTGTTATGTGTCTGAGGCTGGATTTGAACTCAGATCCTCCTGACTCCAGGGCTGGTGTGGCATCTAGCTGCCCCTAGTATCGCTTTTTTTAAAAATCAATTTTATTTGCAGCTCTAAATTCTCTTCCTCCTTTACCCATTGAAAAGGCAAGAAAAATAAAACCCTTTATAAACACATGTACATGTGCAAGATAAATTTGTTCATTAGTTTAAAACAGGGAAGAAAAAAGAAGTAGAAGAAATCTACACTTTCAACCTTTACTTTGAGTAGATTTCCCTACCCAGTTGAGTGTGTATGTTATTCCCTCCTTAAGCCAGCTCTAATAAGCGTAAGGTTCATTCATTCCCTCTCGCCTCCCCCTTTTTCCCCTCCACTGTAAAAGCTTTTTCTTGCCTCTTTTATGTGAGATAATTTACCCCATTCTACCCCTTCTCCTTCTCACAGTACATTCCTCTCTCAACTCTTAATTTTCTTTTTTAGATACCATCCGTTCATATTCAACTCACCCTGGGCCCTTGGTCTATATATATTCCTTCCTTAGGTCTCATGAGTTACAAATATCATCTTTCCATGTAGGAATGTAAATAGTTCAACTTTAATTAAGTCTCTTATGATTTCTCATTCCTGTTTACCTTTTCATGCTTCTCTTGAGTCTTGTATTTGAAAGTCAAATTTTCTATTCAGCTCTGGTTTTTTCTTAAGAATGCATTAAATTCCTCTACCTCATTGAATATGCATGGATTATACTCAGTTTTGCTGGGTTGGTGATTCTTGGTTTTAATCCTAGTCCTTTGACCTCCAGAATATGTTCCGAGCCTTCCCATCCGTTAATGTAGAAGCTGCTAAATCTTGTGTTTCCCTGATTGTGTTTCCACCATACTTGGTTTCTTCCTGGCAACTTTGCAATATTTTCTCCTTGACCTGGGAACTGTGGAATTTGGCTATAATATTCCTGGGGGTTTTATTGTATTTATTGTATTTTTTGAAGTATGGAATTGGAAAGTAGAGAAAGTTCCTGATGGATAGCCTCAGTCTTTTTTACCTTTGACTAGTTCAAATTTGGGTAATGCAGAGGTCAGTATCATTTGGAGCAGAATTTTTTTTTAAGTGCTCCTTAGAATATTAGGATTTGAAGGAATTTTCTGAAGCTTAATAAGCAAGGTTAAAATATGGCGTCTTTTAGTATTATTTTAAGTTTGAATGAGGATCTTATTTTTTAATCAGCTTTCCAGAGGCATGTGGAATTAAAGTGTGCCAAACTCTCAACTCTTACCTGCTTCAAGTACAAACCTATGAACAAATTTTGATTTTTTTTTTTTATTCAAAGCATAAATATTATATAAAAGCTTGGAAATCTTGCTAGGAAGAAAAAAATTAGTGGAGTGCCTTTCTTGCTGGTGTCAAAAGGAATATGACCTTTACTTCCTCAGTTACTGTTAGGCTATTTTTTTTTTCCAAGTCCCATTACTCTATCACAGTCATGTTTCAAAAATTTTCACTTAAATATTTGACTTAGTAACTTCACTGTAAAACCTTAATTAATCTCAGGAGTTCTCCATTTAATAATTCAAAATCCTATTTTGAAATGATTTACTTAGGCTCAACAACATTTTTCCTAAAAATTTAATTTAAAATTGAGAATTCAACTTGTTGTTTTCAGCTATCTGCTCTTAACTTTAGTATTTTACATTGCTGTTTCAATTTACCTCTTTTCCTACCTTCCCCTTCAATATTTTCTTATTAAAGGCACATTTTAGGTGAATAACCTATAGCCTAAACAGCTGGATCATACTGTTTATGAAACAGTGTGCTCCCCTAGGAAGTGGGGAGAGCAGAGAGGTGGCAGGGTTAGAACTATGGCCAGTCTAGTTTTCAACTCTTTAGCTATAGTACTGAAGCATATTCTTGGTGTTATCTTATTCCCTTTCTAGTTGGCTATTTTTCCATGTTATGTTGAAATACAGTTATCTTTTATTGTATCCTTTTATGGACTATCCTGAGAATCTTTAGTTTTTATGACACTTTCCTTGGATAAATCAATTAAACTCTCTGGGCTTCAGATAAATCTGCAAAATTAAGGTTAGGTGACACTTAAGGTCCTTTTCAGTTATAAATTCTATGGTCATTATGTTCTTGTTTCTTAGATATAGACTTTCTACAAAGGCGAATGGTTGTGTTTTTGAAGGGGGGGTTGGCAATGGGGGTTAAGTGACTTGCCCAGGATCACACAGCTAGTAAGTGTTATATGTCTGAGGCCCAATTTGAACTCAGGTCCTCCTGACTCCAGGGCCGGTGCTCTATCCACTGCATGACTTAGCTGCCCCCATGAATGGTTTTAATAAAAGGGGTGGTGTAAAAGAACAACAAAGTTTATGGCAAGAAATGTGCTGCAGTGGAAAGATTGCTGAAGTACTCTGTGATCTTGGGCAGATCAGTTAAAAGTCTTTCAGGGTCTCAGTTACTTCTTCTCTAGACGAAGTATGCAACGATGACCTGAGGTCCCTTCCTGCTCTAAATCTGACAAAGTGATTTCAATCTAAGACAAATTTCAGTTTTATTTCTTCATTGGACTTACGGTGAAAAGAAATACTGATTTTTGCAACACATTTTTAGATACATTGGCTCTTTTTTACTACTAAATTGCTTTTTAGAAAACTGCCATTAACTTTGTAGCCCTTTAAGAATAACCATGATATGAACTGATGCTGAGTGAGGTGAGCAGAACTAGGAGAATATTGTTCACAGTAACAGCAATATTATGTGATGACCAACTATGATAGACTTTGCTCTTCTCGGCAATACAGTAATCCAAGACACTTTCAAAAGACTGGTGATAAAATATGCTAACCACATCCATGGCATCTGAATGCAGATTGAAGTATGCTATTTTCACTTTTTATTGTGTTTTATTTTTTCTTTCTCATGATTTTTCCCTTTTGTTCTGATTCTTCTTTCACAACATGACTATGTACATATGTACAGCATGTAGTTGAAGAAAATCAGCATTAACTTGACCATAAAAAACATGATTGTACATGTATAATCTCTATCAGATTGCTTGCTATCTTAGGGATAGTGGAGGGAAAAGAGGGAGGTAAAAAAATTTGGAACTCAAAATCTTACAGAAATGAATGTTGAAAGCTGTCTTTACATGCAATAGGAAAAAAATAAAATACTATTAAATGTTTAAAAAATGATAACCATGATATATGGTTGATTCAGCATTACTACTAGTCATTTAGAACCTGAAATCTAAAAGTGATTGAGGATTAAGGGTTTTTTTGGGCAAGGAAGTGCTGCTCTGAGTCAGACAGTGGTGACACCCCTTTCCATATTCCTAAAGCAGTTGGACTAGTGGCAGATGAGGCAAATGCTTAGCCCCTAAAAATTGCTAGGTATTTACATGCCAATGACACTTGACCCAGGGTGTGTCTCTTCCTGTTTATGACATTAAGTTATTAGAGCAAACTGTCATTGTTTTCATGTTGCTATGTCAAGGAAGACAGTGTAAATTCCATTCCTTTGCAAAGGTGTCTGGGAAAAGCAAAGCATGAGCAAGCACCTTATATCTCAGACAATAGGAATTGTTTGGCATGCATATTTTGAAAATTGCCTGTTTCTATATTCAAGGAAATGTTTATTTTACTGCTTTGAAAGTTAATGTTTTTCATTAATAAACAATATGATAATGATGTAAGTTTAAAGATGGTCTGAAATGAGGATTTACATAGTTTTGTGGAAGTATATGAAAATAAAATTTGACTTTGAATTTTATTTCTGCTAGGTTCATCATTGGAAGCTGTAACCACCTGTGAACTATGTAAAGAAAAATTACAGCTTAACCTAGAGGATTTTGATATTCATGAACTTCATAGGGCTCATGCAAATGAACAAGTTAGTATATTTTGCCTAATTTGGTAAGTGTCTGTTCTTTGCTTAGAGGACAACTTTTGAGGAAATCGATTTGGTCATGGTCAGGAGCTCTGCGTTAAAAAAAAAAATACCCTGCTCTCTAAATACAGTGCTTTTCATCATTTTAGTTCTTATTTCAAAACTTATTCTGTGACGTTTCTGCCTTTATCCTTAACTTTTTTAAAATAAAAGGTTAAAAACTAGTCAATTCATTAATTTTGAATTTCTGAAGCTTAAATTCCATGTAATGGAATTTTGTGACTTGAAAATTCTTATAACTTTTTACCAAATTTAAATTTGAGAAACTTTCCCAAAATTAGTTGTGCTTTTTTTTTCTTGTCTTTTCCCAGGATTTTTCTGATTCCAGCTGCCTGTTGTGAATGGGTATTGATCAATTTCAAGCACTTTTCCTTTTTTCCTATACAATTGGAAATTACCAACAATTTGGTTAGAGATTTGGTGGCAATCCACTTTAGCTCCTCTCCAAAACTTCAAGAACAGAGTAGAGCAATGTGCCTTAAGCATTCTCTTTTCCTTCATTGCCTCTCCTTTTACACTTTAAATTCCCATTTAATTCTGAAAAAACTATTTTTGTTTTTAACGTTATACTGTTACTATTCCCATAAAAGATATTACTGATTTTTTTAATGATCAAGTTAATGCTGATTTTCTTCAACTACATTCACTTGCATAATTCTCACTTTTCTCTTATCCCACACAACAAATAGCCTTTATTAATCATTGAAAACAAAAATTTTAAAAAATTTTTATATACCTACATGATCAAGAACAAAGATTAAACCAAAGTTTATTTTTGATTATTTTTAATTAAGGTCAGGAGGACTGAGATATTTTGATACAACATAGTTGATTTTTTTTAGTATTTCTCATGAGAACCGGAAATGCCCAAAAGAACTATCTCTCACATAGCTCCTTAGTCAAGCTTGTTCATTAGTAATTGGGTACCTTTTAAAAAAAACTTTTTATCTGCTATGTGACATCTTTGTCACATGGTAGCTTCTCCATTGTATGTCATTACGTAGGTTAGTATTAGCACTGTTGGGTTCAAAGAAGGCAAATAAGAAAGGGAGTGGCAGAGATATGTGATTCCCTCCAACTTTTACCTGCTGGTGCTGTCCCTTTTTGATTTAACTCTTTGTCCTAATGAAAATAAAGACTATTATCTTTTGGCAGAAAAGTGACAAACTTGAGCCCATTTTGGTAGTTGTAGGTGTTCTTTTCAAAGCAAGAAAGAAAGTATGAAGAGAAGAAAGCCTTTTGCTTCAGAGAATGTGAGTTGAATAGAATTATTGGAATAGATTTGGTTATTGATAACCCATTCCAAGTTTAGCTTTTGAGTGAGATGTTCTCTTTTGACTTTCTTTTCTAGAAGTTTCATCATCTACTCTGGAGCTTTTGGCTCTTTAAAACATTTCTGATAGAATGAGAAGGCTTTGGCTCTCCAAATTACCAGTAGTCTTATTAAATTGTTAAGTGCCAGGAATTACTTGTAATAATCACTTGTCCATCTTCTTGGCCTTGATTTGCTTGGGCTGTTATTGTGAATGATTAATTTTAGTTATGTGGGAACTTCTTCATTATCCATTATCTAACATAATCCATGGTTAGTTATGCAAGATGTTTAAAATATATATAAATAGAATTTCTTTCCTTATCTGGAATGAGTTCACACTTATTTTTCAAGGCAGTTCCTCTTCCCTTTTTAGTTCTGTAGAGATGGATTCTTCCTAGGTTAGTGATACTAATGTTAGAGGGATAACTAACTTTAAGAATTAGAGAAGTGATTAAAGATTTCTTAGATAACCTGTTAGCAAACTGCTGAAGCTTTTGCTAAAAATGCAGTTTATACTATTTATACTTCAGGTACATTAACTGGACCCAAATATGGCAAAAGTGAAATAGATTTTGACATTACAAATATTGCTTACCCTACTACCCATCAAAGTAGTAGTTCACTAATACCACTCTAGCTGTTTAGTAAGGACATATTGGGAACTTTTAGTATCCAATTCCTTTTTCAGTTATTATATGAGTTTAAGTTACAGCTAAGGGAACACTAATAGAAATTTTTGGAATGAGTTTTTTAAATATTCTGAGATGTATAGAAAATGAACACATAAAGTTCTGTACCATTTTACATGATTTAAAATTTCTTTTTTAAAATAAATTATTTACCTAAGAAAACTTGTTAAATCAGATTATCTTTAAAGAACTTCATCATTTATTTCAAAAAAGTTCAGCTAATTTTTCTTTTCCTTTAGTATATCTAAAAAAAGTATCTTTCCCATACAACAGATGGCATGGTGTTGTGAATGAGAGGGTCTTTCTGAATATGAAAAAAGTTTAAGCCTTGTTCCCTGGTAGGACACCTAATGTGTATGAGTGTTTTTCTTCTGTTTATCAGGGAACTGAGTCACTGTATATCCAAATCTTGATTGTAGTTTTCTCATTTTTTTCTTTTATTCTTTTTCCTCTCTACTAAAGGCGGAGTATGAGTTTATCAGCTCTGGTCTGTACCTGGTTGTGTTATTGCATTTATGTGAACAAAGCTTTTCTGATATGCTGGGAACTGCAAGTGAAGCTAGCACGCGTGTCCGAGTAAGTAATATTGAGGTGGGGATGGGAGAGCAGCCTGAATCAGTAGTTTAGCTTTGGGAAGTGAACCATTTATAAATATATAGATTATTTTAGGGAAACTAGTCTTTTTTTTTCTTAATTAAAAAAATAGGTGCTATAAAACCTTAAAAGTAAAGACACTTAAGATTTTAAGACATTTACTATTTCCTGTCCAGTGTCCAATATTCTATTCTTGAAAACATTTTCAAGGATGGGGAAAATAAGTTTATTCTTCAAATAGAGAATGATTTCACTTTGATGACCAATATAGGTAGAATTGTTAATATAAGAGAAAGGGATGTTTCTTTTATAACAAACATATTATAACATATAAATCCAAAATATAACTCAAATCTAGAAACTCCACAGGAAATTTTAGTAAGCTTATTTCTATTTTAATTTTGAAAAAATTATTTTGATTGTACCTAGAAATTGACACCAGTAATAGAATAATCTTTCAGATATAGTTATTTGTAATGACACATTTTCATCTTTTGTTGTAGGTGGTTTTTGTTGCAATTGAAAAACAGTTGTTTTTAAAAGGGGTTAGATTAGATCATTCTAAGTTTTGAATTTCTCAGTGCTTAATTTTTGATTAATCTTTGAAGATAGATGAAAAATACCCTCTTTCCATTCATTTTTAAGTCAGACCTTCAAATACTCAGTATTCCCTATTTTAGATCGTGAAGGTGGAAAGGTTTCATGACAATAATTTAGAGATACACTGTAGTAAAATTTCTCCACTAGCAAAAATACTAGTAGAGTGAATTTATTTTTAATTTATTTGAGCACTTCTCAATGTCAAGATTTTTCATTTAGGACCTGATGTAATATTTCTTTTCAGGCTATGAGCTTATGTGCATTATCTTTTGATACAGTGTTCACTTTGAATTAGCCTTGTAGAGCTAGCTTAGGCTGTTTTTTGTAAAGTAATGAATGGTGTAGTTTCATCAAGTTAGTTCTGCCTTTCAGAAGTTTTTGCAAATGTAAGACCATTATATCTACTGGGTTTTTATGCTTCCAAATTATACTGATAACTCTGATGTTGGGTACTATCTAATCTTTACGTGGCACATGAATTGTGTTCTGTATGCCCTTATAAACTACTTGAAGGATTCTCCCAGCAAGTAGTAATGACCATAGGTGGTACTTTATTCATCATCATACCAAAGCAAGTCTTGGTCTCAAATCTTTTTTGGGTGATTACATGTCACCATTAAGGATTTGTTTATTTTGGTTAGCTTTTAGGTTTTACATGTTGCTAGACATCATTAATATTTTTAACTTTATTTTATGTTACATTGAACTAGAAGGTTCCCTAATGTAGACTATAGTGTATATGTTTTATATTGATTTTGGAAGCTATCATATAAATGAAGTTCAATACTTTATCCTATTAACAAATCAAAATGCAAAAAAAAATAAATGGAAGCAAATGCTTCATTGAAGGAATTTAGTGAAAATGATCAGATCATTTTATGTATATAAGTTCTTCATTATGTAGCACTTGATGTTATACCCATCTTTTGGTGAATAAAAGAATAACAATATTAAAAAATTATTAAGCTATAACAGAAAAGGAATTAAAATTTCCTGATTATATGTTCCCTAGAAATCATGGTATTTTGTAAACTCCTCTAATCTGACCAAATTATGAAACAGCTTTTCTGCTTTAAACAAAACTGATAACATAATTATTGTATTTGGCCGTTGAATCTGTCCCTTCACCTACTAAGTGCATAAATGTGATTATGAAGATTTTTCAAAATCAATACTATTTTTAGCATAGAATTAAATTTGAAACCTCAATTTTCTTAGTCTATTACATCAAATTTAGATAGAAAAGGAGTGGTTCATGAGTTTTTTATTCTATTTCTCATGTGAATTCCAGTTGTTGTTTTGTATATTAGCTCTAAATTGAAACCACTTAGTCCCCAGGTTATAGAATTTTCAAAATTGGAATACCTTTCTAAGTAATTTGCTTCAGTGCAAAGAATGAGTACTGTTGGATGAAATAATTTATCTTCAGGGGATTTCGTGGCCATGTTTCTTTTTAGCAAACAAAGCAGCAACTAGTGTTAAGTAAAAAATTTCCTGAAGAATTAGATTATTGCTAGTAGCATGTATATACATACACATATTTCAAATACTGCCCTTAAATTATGTGTTTTAATTGATTGAGGAGAAAGCCCTAGTATAGGGGTGGGGAACCTGTGGCCTTCTAGGTCCTTGGATGTGGCCTTTTGACTGAGTCCAAGTTTTACAGAACAAATCCTTTTATTAAGGGGATTTATTCTGTAAAATTTAGATTCCACAAAGGGCTGCACTTGAGAACCTAAAGGGTCACATGTGGCCTCAAGGCCGTGGGTTCCCCACCCCTGCCCTAATACCTAGATTTTAAGGGCTTAAAATGATATTTAAATTTGTGTTAAGTAAAATAAACCACCTATACTTATTCTGTAGATCCATATACAACATTTAAACTACTGTATTTCTTTCTGCATTGTTTCTAGTTTATTAACCTTGCAAGAACTCTTCAGGCACATATGGAAGATCTTGAAAGTAGGTGACATTTCCCCTCCCCAGACTTGTTGAATTTATTATTGCAAATTAAACCCACTGAACAAAACCTACCAGTGTTCCCCTTTTTTTGAAGGCATGTGCTATATTAGCTTTACTGTCATTTTGACTGGCTTATAGCCCTATTGATAATACAAGGAGTTGAGGGGGGAGGGGATAGAGATTCAGAGAAACTGAATTTTTGAGAAAAAAGTTTTTTTAATGTGGGTAGTGATATTCAAGGTCAGTGCACTTGGCTTGGGACCAAAATTTTAAGTAAAGAAATCGTAACATGCCTTGAACTGATCAGTTTCAGCTCTCTGAGTGGGACTAAAGCAATAAGTGATTTAATGTTTTTTTAATTAAACATTTCTTAAATTTATATAATTACATTTTAAAATATGTGAAAGCATTTTAAGATACTGTATAAGCCTTAAGATATTAATAGTAATTTATCATGTATATGAAAATGTCAAATGTGTCTTTGAACTCTGTTTTTCCATGTATCCCTCTGCTCTCACCCAAAACAAACAAATAAACAAACCTCTACCACCTTACTTAGATAATTCCTCTCCTCTTCACTCTACTCCAGCTGGATTATGCATGTTGCACATAGCAAAGCAGTCTTTTCTCTTGGGAGTGCTTTGTAATTCCAAGATACTTTTTTAATGATCTAAATTTTATGAGCAGATTCCTATTTTTAAGAATTGGCAATATTTTGTTTATACTCAACATTTATTTTTTAGATTACATTTTTAACAATCTTAGTATAGTTATGTAGAAGAGTTTATTGGAATGGGTAAGAATTTCATAGTTCAAGTTCAAAAATGACCATTTCTTAAGTTCAGTAACAAGTGAGTTTTTTATGCTATATGTACTTTTGATAATGGTTGGCTATTTGGGCTGATAGATTTTTTTTTTGTCCCCAGAGTCCTTTGATACATTTTCAGTTAGTATCTGTTGTTCAGCAGTTTTTAAAATAAAATAACTAGTCCCCAAATTCATCCACTTTAAAAGCAACAAAGAATAAAGGGAAGTTGTAGGGAAAAAAAAATCTTATAGCATTTTTATAAAAGTAGAAAATTGATTTGCATGTTACAGCTTAACTTCCTTTAAGAATCAGAGTAAGGAAAAACCTGTTTCTAAAGATAGCTAAACATTGAATTTTCCTTCCTTATGGAGTTGATTGTTTTGATAATATTACAGTAACCACATATTACTTATATCCATGAAAAGGCATTTCTTTGTCAATTTAGAGCTACAAATAGGAGTCCCACCTTTGGGACTACTTAAAGTTATAAGTTCTTTGTGGAATGAAGTGCAGGGGAAGCGGGGGTAAACATGTGAATCTAGATTATTTCATTAAATTTTTTAAAAAATTTAATTTCTCTTTGAAAGGAATTTCATATTCTAACAGGGATGAATAAACTTAAAACAATAGAGTACTATATAATCCATTAGAATACTTAAGTGTTGCATGCAATCTCCAACATCCCTAACATGTTGTTTTAAATGAGTTTAACTTTGACTGGATATTCTTAAAAAGATAAATGTTACCCTTTATTAAGTACAAAACACAGACCATGAATTTTTTTTTCCATGTAAATTGGGAAGTTACTTGTAATAGGCAGTATCCCTTTTCCCCCATCACTTGTAATCCAGTCTACAGATTTTAAGAATAATCTATAGGGCTTTTAAGATTTGCAGTGCACTTTTCCTCACAACAGTTCTGTTAGGTAAGTAGTGTAAATATTCTTATTTATAAATAAGAAATCCAACCTTGGAAAAGATTGTGGCTTTTTCGCTATAGTCACATAGCTAATTAGTGTCAGAGTTGTAATTAAAACTCAGGCTTTTCCAACTCCTTCATGGTTGATTCATTCAACTTCCTAAAGAAATCCTGGGACATCCTTATGGAACTTCTGTGTTCTCTGATCATAGTGACTGTCTTGTTGCTTCTTGCTAAAATCACATCATGAATTTTAGGTACTCAACTTTGTCATTGAAATAGAAACAAGGGGAATAGGGTAGTTTTCAACAAAAGGTCATGTCTTTTTAAACAAAAGACATTAACTCAGCCTTTGTCTATAGTGAACTTAGTTGATCATTTTAAATAAATTGAACAAATCTGTTTGTTGGCATTGCATTGCAAAGTGACAGCTTCAGTGACTTTAAATTTGTAAGTGTTCATAAACTAATAAGCTTACCCCTATCTGCACCGTCCATTCTTGTGAGGAGCTTTTACCTTATAGTTGTAAAACGTTAAATTCTGTGTGGAGTCTCTTAGGATGATATGCTTGAACCTCATTTTGGCATTTTTCACACCACGTTGTGATCTGAAATCCAAATATTTTTTCAGACATTGTTGTCTGTGGTAACCATTTTATAGGTTGGTCATTTTTTGATTCTGTTATTGTTCTTTCAACAGCCTCTGAGGATGAATCTGAAGAAGATGGAGACCACAACAGAGCATTTGACATGGCCTAACATCATGTGGGACAAATGAGCTGCAAACAATTGATATAAAATAATTACTTTTGGGGGGGAGGGGATGCTTATTAAAAGTACAATGAATATTACTACTTTTATTTCAAATGTTGCTGGCTTCAAACTACACTGCTACACCCTGAAACATGGCCAGTGAAAATGATATGTTCACAAACTGGCAGGTTCATGTTGATTTTCCCTTGAGGAGAGTGGGAAAGTATTAGCTTTGTTTCAAGTATTTAATTCCCCTCCCTTCATTTTGTGTTCTGATTATTGTAGTCAGATTATATTTATGGAAGATTATTCAATTTCAGTTTTTTCCCTTGTTAGTAAAGAGATTGGATACTTTTGAACATGGGAGGGAGAGGCGGGTAGGAAACAGCACAGGATGATATTTTTCTGTTTAAACTTCCTTAAGTTGCAGTCTCATTTTGATAATCGATTCCAGTGTTTAAAAAAAAAATGGAAGCAAGTGGAACTTTCTGAAAAGCTCTAGTATTAGGTTTCTAAAACAGATTTAAACTGTTAATTCACTTAAACAGCAATAAAAGAGGACAAATGTTTAAATGATGGAATTACTATATATTGATTTGAAAATCAGATTGTATTTGATATATGTGGTATGCAGATATTCCATTTAGGAATATTACAGCTCTAAATTTTTATTTCAGAATTCTCTGCAGAAATGCAACTTACCAAAATTATTGCAATCTTAAGTAAGCTGTTAATTAAAGTTTTTTAGATCCCACATTCACAGTTAAAACACTGGTTATCAATGTGTTTTTTAGTGTTGTCATTTCTTTACAAATAAATACGATGTATATATAATTGATATTTGTCTCTTTTTTTAAGCTTTCCAGTTTTGTGTATTTAATTTTTCTTTGTTACTTTAAGAGAAAAGGAATCTTATTAATTTTGGTTCCTAGTATAGGCCTAACCTGAATACAGTCATGAAATGCAGGCTATGCCAAAAGTCTTAGTGTAAATTTAAGCTTTAACAAAGCTTAAACTTGTCATTAAGCTTTATTAACTTAACTGCAGCAAGACTTTAGGGACATCTTTTATTGTTATTCAAGTACTAAGTCTATTTCTTTCTGCCAGACTGTTTTTTCCAAGACAGAGTCTTTCAGGTAACATTTCCATTCTAATAATGTATCTGCATGGGAGGGAAGGGCTGAATTAAGGTTATTCACTTAATTATATTACATAGTTGGTAGGCTAATGTGCAAAACAGTGTCAGCTAACCAGCCATGCCACTTTGACTTGATCAGTTTTCATAAGAATGTATTGTCAGTTCATCCACATCTGAATCAGAATATTGGTTTAAAATAACATTTTTTCCTAAGGTAAAAGTGAATATTTCCACATTATACTCTCCTAGAATTATTTTCCCTTAATTGGTGTTCACATTTCAGAGAGGATTTGATTATATTAAATTGTGACAACTTTTACAAGAAAACTTGATTTACTTATCTCTTGCCTTTATTTTGTCTGCCCTTAAAGTAAATATACAGTATTAACTTAAGGATACCATTTTTAATTACTACACTTTTGATACCTCAAGAATGCTTTCACTTTCTTTTCAGTTTGTTAATAAAGCATTTATTTTCTCTTTCCTAGTTCCCTTCCTCCCTACCGCCCCACCAACTAGAGTAGGGGAGAAAACAGAACAGTTGCAGATCTCTACATCTTCATTTCACATTAAGAATATTGAAATACTCTTACTGTAAATACTCATGTTGTAATGGAGCATGAAGCTACTACTTATAGTAAGCATAAATATGTTGAGCAGAAAAAACCTTGGTAACATCTTGAGAATTCTCCAGTTTTTCCATTATATCCTAGTCCATTAGTTTTCAAATTCTATAAGAGTCTATTCAGTGAACTGTAGTCTCAACTCCATATAGAAGTTCTGTTTTTTATGTTATAAACCCCTCTGGCATTCTGATGAAGCCTCTGAATCTCTTCAGTGTTCTTGAATCATTAAATATATAGAAATAGAAAGGAAACTATTGAAATAGTAAAAGTTCACAAACCCCAAGGTAAAATCCCTTTCCATTTAATATATTAATTTTATTTTACTATATTGTTATTGCTGGCATACTGATGTTTCATCAAAACATGGTGTCATTGATTTAAATTCAAACTCACTTGAGTACCTAATATATACTAATATTGGGAATAAACAAAAATTCTTAGAATACATTCTGCTGAGTGGGATTGGGTATATAAACAGGTATAGTACAAGAAAAAGAGAACATTACTACTAAAAGGGGAATGATAATGGTATGTATAAAGTGTTGAATTTTCAGTCAAAAGGACCTGAGTTTGGCTTTTAGTGCCATTTTAAATTCCTGTACCATGGAGACCACTGAATGTCACTTTCTGTGTGCATAACTTGCTCATCTGTAAAACGAGCTGGAGAAGAAAATGGCAAACACTCCATTGTCTTTGACACGAAAACCCAAATAGAGTCATGAAGTCAGACAACTGAAATAGCTGAACAACAACACATGTAAAATGAGAGGATTAGACCAGACAAGTTTCTGGGGTCCTTTCCTATTATATACATGATTCTTAGATTTTTGGGGGGGTGGGGGTGGTGGGGGGAGCAAGAGAATGCCATCTGACTTGAACCTGGAAAGAAAGATGTGGATTCTGAGAGATTGAGGTGGAGTATGTTCTGGGCATTGAAGATGGTTTGTATGACTATACTGAACAGATGAAATGTTGAGTTCAAGAAACAGCTGGTAGTCTACAATTGCAAAGGAAACCAGTCACTGGTGAAATAGTTATTTAAATATATAAATACGTATGTATGTATACATACATAAATACTTTTTTTTACGATCAAGACCCCAGGTTAAGAACTTTTGTCTTAGGGCATAGGTTCTGGTTGTGTGGGTCAAGTAAGTGTTGTGAAGCTGCAGGATCAGGTTTTTCTAACCTGATTTACCCTGGATGCTATCAATAAGCCCTGGTCAAAGAAGCTAGAAGGGAAAAAACACCATGATATGGGCCATATTAATAGCCACACAGAATTTTCTCTTTATCCTTTGCACTTCCCACTTCATATACATGCCTTCACAAGGAAAATGATGGGGAATTGGCAATAACCAGGAAGGGTAGGGGAGTTTCTGTGGCTTCACTGGAATGAAATATTAATATTTTAGTATAATAGCTCTTCTACTAACTCATGTGACCTGTTTTTTTCTAATGCTAACTCTTAAGTCAATAAAAGAACTGCCAAGACTACTTGTTACAGCACTGACCAGTGCTAAGTGCTTGCTCTATACATACTTGTTGGCTCAATTTCATGGGCTAAATGAAAGCTTACTTTGTGTTAGCTTAACAATGGTATGAGTAAATGGGATTTGGTTGGGTCAATTTATGAGCTAAATGAAAGATTAAATTGTAAATGTTAGTTTATGTATAAGCCAGTAAAAAAAATAGTATGAGTAAATAGGATTTACACATTTCATAATGGAGAATACCCAAAGTTAGATAAGAGTGACAGAACCAGATGCCTACAGCAGGGATTAGTTTTCTTAAAAGGCAAAGTAGCTTTCTCCAGGACCTGATTGGCCCCAGTCTTCCTTAATGCAGCTTCCTAAGAGAGCAAAAAGTCCCACTCTATGAGGGGTTGGAGCCGCTCTGACCATCTACGTGTCTGAAGACGGTGCAAGTCACCATTACCTCCCTGCTGATATTTCCATATGAAGACAAGAGTGTGCCCAGGGTAGCTAAGTTCTACTGTATCTTTGCTGTGTTTGGGCAAAGTAAACTTGTTAACTGCTCAGTGACTTCCAGGTACCTGTTTCCATCCCCAAATCAAACCTGAGCTAATAGGATACCAGTGTTCACCTGCCCCAGCAGTTATCCAAATAACTTGAACCCTTCAAAGTAGACACCTTGGAAAGTTAAATACAAGCCAACAGTGCTGTCATCTTAAAGTGTTAGGGTAATTTCCTTCAGAGCGTGCAATCTCATTCTTTTGTCTTCAGTGGCATATGTTTGTTCTTTGATTTTTGGAAACAACTAAATGTTATGCAGGACAGTGATATATTAGAAATTGCACTGAATTTAAAGATAGCTCCTGACTCTGAAGCGCAACTCAGAACCTCTTGGCAGGCATGTCTTCATCTGTAACAATGAGGGGGATGAAATAAACCTCTAAGGTCTCATCCATATTTCAGTCTATATTCCTTGTGAATAAAGTGAGTAGAGGTAATCAGTGCGTTAAGTGATGAGACTGATTTTCTTGTATGCCTTGTAAACTGATCTAATGGAAACAACATAGGATTTGGAGTCAGAGGCCTTAGGTTCAAATCTCAGTTCTGTTATTTAGTACCTGTAGTGTGTAGCCCAGGAGTATATATATTGTATATGTCATATCTATAAATAGGTCCCATGGTGACTACTTTGAAGGAAAACATGTATTTGGATATAAGAAGTTCAGAATGTTTTTTAAATAATCTCATTACTTTTATAACCATCATTTGTAATATTTAATATTTTATGTAAGCTACAATTGCATTAGCTATACATACAGCTTAAGTATCTCCCTTTTTAAGTGAGCAACCATGGCTTTGAGATTGACCAAATTACTTCACCCCTCAGTCTCATTTTCCTCATCTGAAAATGAGGGTGTTGTACCAGATGATTTCTAAGGCTTCTCCCAATTCTAACCTATTGTTTTATTTTGAAGATTAAATATATATCTATATATATATATATATATATACACATTTTTTATACTCTTCAGGGATTTTTTTTCAGTATGATCAGCATTATGCAGAATAATTTTTTTTCAGTCATACGTAAATAGAAAAATGATTGTGTAATTTAAAAAAACTTTTCAAGTCCTAGAAGCTTACATTTGGATTGCTGTTCAAAACACTGCTTTTGATATCTATATCTGAAACTATTAATACTTATTGAAATTAAGCAATATACTCATTTTCTTCTGCATCTACTAAAATACAGTCATCATTATAAGGAAGTTGAGGTGCTGTTGTGTAAGCTGAATTTGTAAGGCCAGAAGTTAGATTTCTTTTGTAGAGGAACCAAACTACAGCTCCTATAATTGTCAGGATTGTAGTGCTGGCAATCACCAATGCTGTTATTAAAATGTGGTTATCTGTAAAGGAAAAAAAAGAAAAGAAAAATTCTATGTTAGGGACCAAACTGTCCTAGTTTCAACAGTTGAGAAATGTTGGTTTAAGGGGTGCCAGCTAAGTTTTGTATTTCTAGTAATTTTCCTAAAGCATATGTCTGTCTGTCCATGTCGTTCTGCTCAGTAAGCCCCTGTGGCTACCTGTTGCCTCAAGGATCAAATACAAATGTCTGGGCATTTCAAGCCCTTCACAACGTAACCCCAGCTTACCTTTCCAGCCTCCCTGTACGTTATTCTTTTTCATGCATTCTGTGGCCCTGCCAAACTGGCCTTCATATTCTTAACATGAGACAATCCATGGACAATCCACAGTTTGTCCCCCATGTACTCCCTCCTCCACCTCCTAGATTCCCTTTTTCCTTCAAAGCTCAGCTTACTTAAATGAGGACTTCATCAATTCTCCCAGGTGCCTCCTTCCCAAAATTATCCTATATGTATTCTGTTGTCTATCCTGACAGAATGTAAGCTAATCGAAGGCATAAATTATTTTATTTTTTTCTTTGTATTCCCCATATCTAAAAGTGCCTGGCACATAAGAAGCACTTAACGATTGAGTTCTAAAGCTATCTAAACTGTCAAACACTCACAGATCTGTGATCTCATGGATTTATGTGTGTACTACAATGATGGCAGATTAAAATCCCTCTGTGCCTACC